CAGAGACAGAGAGAGAGAGAGAGAGTGAGAGAGAGAGAGCTAGAGAGAGAGAGAGACAGATAGACAAACAGACAAAGAGACAGACAGACAGACAGACAGACAGACAGACAGACAGACAGACAGTGAGAATGCGACAAATGTTATATCATCTAAGCTAAGATAAAATCATTAACAGTGAGGCAGTAGTCATGTGCTGACGTTATCCGTCCAAAGGCCGAAGTATGGACGAAATAATTGTTTGAAAATAACAACAGTATCAAATGAGCTTGCGGGAGATCTCGCTTACCATTTTTGCCATTCAGGGTCGAGGATGAAAACAAAAATAAAATACTATTATGACTTTGACAATTTCACTCTTAATTGACTGGTGTTACATGGGCCTGGCAAAAAAAGTGATGTTATTTGAATGTTGAAGGTGGCTACTTTTCCCCCTACTTCCTCTTCCTCTGGTGGTTGGGGCATAATGAATAGATCAAATGCAATAGAGCTGGGGATAAAATAACATCAAGGACAGAGAGGATCAAACAATGTAACCATTCTAATCAGATCTGCAGGTGTAATTATTATAATATATTGCTTCTTGTCTATTCTTTCTTTCTCTTTCCTTTTTTCCATACTTTTCTTCTGAAAGCACAAATAATGCTCAAACATTTAATAATAACATCTTTGTATAAGAGTAAATTCGACCCATTCATCTTAAAATGAGTAAAACGCGTCTTTCAAGTTTGACGTCAAGGCGACCCTAAAGTGACCTCGCGGAGGGAGGAGACCCCATTGGACGTCGTACAGGGTGGCTTAAAAAAGGACCCATTGAAAGGCCAATAACTCAGTCATTGTTTCCCTAACTCCAACGAAACTTCCAACACATAAAATTCAACAAAGGAAGTGTCAAATTCGTTAGCATAAAAAAACCTCCAACAAACTCTGTGTTCGGGAAATATTGATTTGAAAAATTCAACCAAAGTTGAGGAAAACGCGAAACTTTACAACTTCATAAAAATCCAACTATAATGCGTATTTAAAGAACAAATTAAATCTATCTAAATTTAAAACTGACATTGTTCAGTAAACTAAAGGAAAGTGGTGGCCAGTTAGTTTATATGCTCCAGATCTTGACCGTTTCTTCCCATACAAGATCGAAAACGTCGCAGAGAATTTTGGTTAAACCATGTGGCAAGTTTCTGTGTCCATTCTTTGAGCGTCCTGATCGATATTGCGGTTCAACAGTTCATTTGTTTGTGAGTAGCTTCCGTAAACTGGGGCATTACTATTTAAATAGTCACTGTCTCCCTTAAGCTTTGTCTTGCAATGACAATTTAAAATAAATTGGTTCTTTAAAGAGGAGGAAAGGGGGGGGGGGGGGT